ATATTGTGGTTAAATTAAATCTTGTGTCATGTTTGCTTGAATATGGAATTCAGCCTTGACAGGTAGCCTTGACTGGGAGTGATATTGGGGTGATATTTAATTTTACTTAGGTTTGTTTTTTTTTGAAGATTTTTTAATTGATTTTTAGAGAGAAAAGAAGGGAGAGGGAGAGAGACAGAGAAACATAGATGTGAGAGGAAAACATGGATCGGCTGCCACCTGCACACCCCCTACCAGGGATCGAGCCCACAACCCGGCTTGTGCTGTGACCAGGAATTGAACCGGTGACCTTTCAGTGCACAGGAGGAGGGCACCCAACCAACTGAGCCACACTGGCCAGGGCTAGTTTTACTTAGTTTAATAATGGGGCAGCGGGGGGAGGGAGCTGTGCAAAAATGTAGGCATTTTCAAACATGATTTTCAAAAATTTTCAAAACCCTTTGCACAATTGTTTGGCATTCCAGTGTCCCCGTATTAAGTGTTCTGTCCTGTAACACACCGTGGGTCCCATTTCACGCTATAGGTAAGAGCTGATAAAGGAGCCCTGAGCAGTGGGAGGTTATCTTCACAGAGGTGGAAATCAATAAGCTATTTGGGAAGGCAGTTTTCAGTGTCACACAATTCCCATCACTTTCCATCTCTAGAAACCAATTCTAAGAGAGGAAAGGGAACCAAGTAGCTCTATGCTGGACAACTCTCTCCGTAACGTTTTGTAACCACTTATGGGTGCCTTTTCCGAGAACCATCCACAGTGTCAACCCAAAGGGCCAATTACGTGGCAACAGTCTTTGCTGTTTTAACACAGGCAGCGAGATTTCTCGAACGATGAGAATGTGTTCACGCCCACAGTTCAACGACTCTCCTCAGCTTTCTGCTGTGGCCAAGCCCGGCCTGTGCGAGTGAGCAGACGCTGTGTCCGGTTCATCAAACAGTCCCCAGAACCTTCCGGGGCCCAAGCCCAGGAGGAGAGCCAGCTTACAGGTGCTGAGCTCTGTGTCCCAGACATGTTCCATTTTTAACTTCTAGCAGAAAGCGATTCCCACCGAACACCACAGATGAGTGGGTGTGAGGCCTGCGTCCTTACATAACTCGCCACGTGGAACTTCCGTTTTATTGCAAGCCCAATATTAGCACCATCTATCGCTCCCTATTAAATGTTCCAGAAGTCTCCTCTATGACAAACATTAATTTCTTAAGTGCTTCCTGGCGTGTGCCTGTCTAAAATGCTTTCAGCCATATAAGAATTCTCAAAGTCACAGTGACTACAGGGCTTACATCTAAATATTACTAAACCGGTACCCTCATCAGCGGCAGCAGCCAACGTGGCAACGTTGAAAACGTTTCACATTTATCTTTTATTTCCTGGCCACGTTTCCAGCACATTGAGCGACGGTATTTCTGGTCACACTTCCATTTGTACGTGTTTATATCTTTCCAGGACACAATTTCCGCTATATTCAATAGACACCCTTTTACCATTTGTGGAGAACTGGATGTCCCAGGCCGATTTTTTTTTTTTTTACTTAAATACAAAACTGTTTCTATATAAACAACCAAAACAAGCCTTGTCGACATCTCAGTTCTCGTTGCAGCATATGGGGTTTTGATCACAGGTCTTTTCCATACCCCTGGTCTTTATTCTTTCATCGCTTTGTTTCCTAAGGCCACCTAGGCTATTTTCTGTAATTACACCCTTTGCCAAATAAACGAGTGGAAATGGTCAATTGACAAAGTGGAGCATAGGCCCTCTAGGCCTGTGTTTTGCTCCCTTGCATGGACATATGAGAAATATTCTGCTTTTCTAACACTGTATGGTGACAGAGATTTTCACAAGCCAAAAACAGTTTTGCAAAATATGATGATCGCTTTCTATAATCCACCCTCTGGATCTGATCCTGCTCCCCCGAGGGAAGACCGTGCCCTCTGAGTCTCCTCCAGAAAGTCATCCAGCCGCTTCCACACGGATGCTGGGAGGCACGGCTCCTGTCGGCCCGGAATTAACCCCACAGCCTGCACTGTAAGCCAAGCGGGTAAGCACCCCAGAG